TTTCTTTCTTTGTTTTTTTGTTTTTTTTGATTGCTCTTTTTTTTTTTTTTTAGCCTCGGGCGACGGGGGCACCGGGGGTTCCCGTCGCCGGTTCCCGGCCCCGGCGCGGGGAGGTTTTCTCGGGATTGTTCGAGCGCCTCCTCCCTCCTCATCCTCCTCCCTCCTCTCCTCTGTCTTCTTCTTCTCCTCCTCCTCCTCTCCTCCTCTCACTCCTCCTCATCCTCCCTCCTCCTCCTCCTCCTCTTCCCCCTCCTTCTCCCTTTCTCCTCATCCTCCTACTCCTCCATCCTCCGCACTCGTTCCTCCCGCCTCCTCATCCTTCTCCTTCCTCCTCCTCCTCCTCCTCCTCCTCCCCCTCCTCCTCCTGCTCCTCCTCCTCCTCCTCCACACGGCCGTGGGACCCCCAAGGAAAGGGGGCGGGGATCCGGTCCGCAGCCATTTTGGTGCATGCCGCCCAGGCCCGGGCTGCCTCACCGGGGGGGCGGCGCTCTCGGGCGGGCCTCTCCCGCGGGCGGGGCGGCGCACGGCAGATGGGCAACTGCGCCGGGTCGAAGGGTCAGGCGGTGGAGAGAGTGGTGTCCCTACGTCCCGGCAGAATCGGAATTCCGCAAAGGCGGGGTGTGCCCCGTGGTGGGTGTGCGTGTGTGCCGTGTGTGCCGTGTGTGTTGTGTGTTGTGTGTTGTTGTTGTTGTTGTTGTTGTTGTTGTTGTTGTTGTTGTTGTTGTTGTTGTTGTTGTTGTTGTTGTTGTTGTTGTTGTTGTTGTTGTTTTTGTTGTTGTTGTTGTTGTTGTTGTTGGTGTTGTTGTTGTGTTGTTGAACCTATTCATTCTGAAATTATTTATTGTAAAAAATCCCCCTGCACCGGGAACATTGATTTTTTTCGATTGAAGTGCCAACCCCCGGGGTCGCACTTGGTTTTTTCTCAAGGAAAGTCTTCATTTGTGGCTCAAATGTGCCCCTGCCCCCCGGGCTACGGCTACAAACAACAACGGCTCCCGCCTGAGACTTCTTCGAATTTTTACTCAGGGCCCTCGCTCCCGCCTGAGACTTCCGCGCTAATTACTCAGGAAAGGCGCGTGATTTTTTTTTTTCTTTTTTTTTTTTCCACTTTTTTTTTTTTTTTTTTATTTTTTATTTCGTTTGAAGGACTTTTTCCTCGCAATGTACTCAAGACCCCCGCTCCCGCCTGACTTCCGTGCAATTTACGTGGGAGGGGCGCTCCCGCCTGAGACTTCTTCGAATTTTACTCAGGACCCCCGCTCCTGCCTGACATTACCGCGCAATTGACTCAGGAACGGCGCTCCCGCCTGAGACTTCCTCACAATTTAGTGAGGACCCCCGCTCCCGCTTGAGACTTCCGTGCAATTTGCTCAGGAACGGCGCTCCCGCTTGAGACTTCCTCGCAACTTAGTCAGGGCCCCCGCTTCCGCCCGAGATTTCCTCACAATGTACTCAGGACTGCGCTCTCGCGTGCGACGTCCTCACAAATTATTCTGGAATTGCGTTTCGGCGCTCAGGAACCACGCGCGCGCCAAGGACGCCTTCACAACGTGGTATCTTCCCTCTTCCTTCGTCCTTCCCCCTCCCCTTCCTCCCACTCTCCCTCGTTCTTCCCCTCCTCCTCTTGCAGGGCCCGCGCCAATTCCAATGGCGGGCAGAGAGATGTACGCCCCCGAAGGATTGTCCGCCCGTTCCGGTTTGCCCGTACGTCTAAGCCCGCCGGCCCCAGCAAAGAGAAATAATCCCCCCGAAAGGGGTGTGATCGAAGACGAAGAGGGCGGGCATCGAGGGTGTAGGGTATACGTGTTGAATGACTCGCGGGCAAGTAAGAGCGTACAGCCTTAAAATGGTTGTTGTTGCTGTTGTTGTTGTTGTTGTCGTGTGTTTGTGTGTTTTGTGTGTGTATGTGTGTATGTGTGTTCGTGTGTGTGTGTGTTGTGTGTGCGACGTGTGTGTGTGGTGTGTGTGTTGTATGTGTTGTGTGTTGTGTGTTTTGTGAGTGGTGTGTGTGTGGTGCGGGTTGTGTATGTTGTGTGTGCGCGTTGTGTGTGTGGTTTGTGTTGTGTGTGTGTTGTCTCTGTGTGTGTTGTGTGTGTTTGTATGTGTTGTGTGTGTGTGTTGTGTGAGGTGTGTGTGTGTGTGTGTGTTGTGTATGTGTTGTGTATGTTTTGCGTGTGTGTGTGTGTTCTGCGTGGGCTGCGTGCGTTGCGTGTGTTGTTTATGTGGTGTGTGTTGTGTGTTGTGTGCGTTGAGTGTGTTGTGTGTTGTGTGTTGTGTGTGTTGTGTTTTTTGTGTGCTGTGTGTCCTGTGTGTCCTGTGTATGTTATTTGTTGTGTGTGTTGTGTGAGTGCTGTGTGTTGTGTGTTGTGTGTTGTGTGTATTGTGTGTTGCGTGTGTTGTGGGTGTTGTTGTGTGTGTTGTGTGTGTTGTGTGCGTGGCGTGTGTGTGTGTGTTGTGTGTTGTTGATGTGTGTTGTGTGTTGTGCGTCTGCGTTGTATGTGTATATTGTGGTGTGTGTGTGTGTCTGTGTGTTGTGTGTGTTATGTGTGTGTTGTGTGTGTTGGGTCTGTGCGCGTCGTGTGTATTGTATGCGTGGGGTGTGTTGTGTGCTGTGTGTTGTGTGTCGTGTGGTGTCTGTGTTATGTGTTGTGTGTTGTGTGTTGTGTGTGTGTGTTGTGTGTATTGTGTGTGGTGTGTGGGTGTGTGTGGTGTGTGTGGTGTGTGTGTGTGTGTGCGGTTTGTCTGTGTGTTGTGTGTTGTGTGTTATGTGTGTTGTGCGTGTTATGAGTTGTGTGTTGTGTGGCGTGAGTGTTGTGTATGTGTGCGTGTGTGTGTCTACGTGTGCGCGCACGTGTACATGTACGTGTACGTGTACGTGTACGCGTGCGTGTGCGTGTGCGTGTGCGTGTGCGTGTGCGCGTACGTGTACGTGTACGTTTACGTGTACGTGCCTGTGTTTGTGTCTGTGTCTTTGTCTGTGCCTGTGTCTCTGTCTGTGTCTGTGTCTCTGTCTGTGTCTGTGTCTGTGTCTGTGCCTGTGTCTGTGTCTGTGTCTGTGTCTGTGTGTCTGTGAATGTGTCAGAGTCTGTGTCTGTGTCTGCGAGAGTGTGAGTGTGTGTGTCGTGTGTTTGCGTGTGTGCGTGGGCGCGTGGTTAAGTTGGTGTGTGTGTGTGTTGTGCGTGTGCGTGTGCTCGTGTGTGTGTGTGTGTTGTGTGTTGCATGTGTGTGTGTTTTGCATGTGTGCGTGTGTGTTGCATGTGTGCATTGTGTGTGGTTTGTGTGAGTTGGGTGTGTTGATTGTGTTGTGTGTTGTGTGTGTGTTGTGTATAGTGTGTGTAGTGTGTGTGTGTGGTGTGCATGTGTGTTGTGTGTGGGTGTTGTGTGTGTGGTGTGTGTTGTGTGTGGTGTGTGTCGTGTGTTGTGCGGTTTGTGCGTTGTTCCCCAATCAGAGCTTGCCTCTGTAGGGATCCTAGCGGATTCATATGGTTAGGTTAGGTTTGCCGCCGATTTTTGCCGCACTCCGGTTGTGCCCGGGTGCCCGGGGGTGCCCGGAGGTGCCCAGGGGTGCCCGGAGGTGCCCGGAGGTGCCCCGGGGTGCCCGGGTGCCCCGGGGTGCCCGGGTGCTTTATCGCCCTATGGCCCTATAGCTCTATAGCCCTACATTAGACCTATAGACCTATAGCACTACAGCCCTATAGCCCTATAGCCCTACAGCCCTAATAGCCCTATAGCCCTACAGCCCTGTAGGCCTATTTTCCTGATGCCCTACAGCCTAATCGCCCTATAGCCCTACAGCCCTGATGGGCCTATAGCCCTATAGCCTCATTGTCTTGTAACCCTATAGCCCTATGTTCCTATAGCCCTATAGTCCTATAGCCCTAGCCCTATGGTCCTATAACCGTATAGCCCCATAGCCCTACAGCCCTACAAATAGTACGATTGGGTGTTTTCCCCGGTATGATTTATGTTGTGTGTTGTATGTGTTGTGTGTGTTGTGTGTTGCGTGTGTTGTTTATGTGTTGTTTATGTGTTGTTTATGTGTTGTGTGTTGAGTTTGTGTGGTGTGTGTTGTATGTGCTGTGTGTTGTGTGTGTTGTGTGTTGTGCGTTGCGTGTGTTGTTTGTGCTGTGTGCATTGTGTGTGTGTGTTCAGTGTGTTGTGAATTGCGTGTGTTGTTTGTGTGTGTGTGTTTTGTTTGTATGTGTTTGTGTGTTGTGTGTGCTGAGTGTGTTATGTCTTGTGTGTATTGTATGTTGTGCGTTTGTGTGTTATAGGTTGTGTGTATGTTCTGTGTGGTGTGTATGTTGTGTATGTTGTGTATATGTTGTGTGTGCTGTGTGCTGTGTGTGAGGTGTGGTGGGGGTGCTTGTTGTGTGTTGTGTGTTGTGTGTAAGTTGTGTGTTGTGCGTTGTGCGTTGTGTGTTGAGCGTGTTGTGTTGTGTGTTGTGTGGTGTGTGTGTTGTGTGCTGTGTGTGATGTGTGTGTACTGTTTGTGGTGTGTGTTGTGTGTTGTGTGTTGTGTGTGTTGTGTGTTGTGTGTGTTGTGTGTGTTGTGTGTGTTGTGTGTGTGTTGCGCGTTGTGTGTTATGTGTGATGTGTGTGCGTGTGCGTGCGTGCGTGTGTGTGCGTGTGTGTGTGTGTTTGTACGTGTACGCGTACGTGTACGTTTGCGTTTACGTGTGCGTGTACGTGTACGTGTACGTGTTTGTGTCTGTGTCTTGGTCTGTGTATGTTTCTGTGTCTGTGCCTGTGTCTGTGTGTTTGTGTCTGTGCTTGTGTGTGTGTGTGTGTCTGTTTGCGCCTGTGTCAGTGTCTGTGTCTGTGTGTTTGAATTCGATCTGTTTTTGCACTGAACCGCCCAGAACAGATGCCCCCCAGCCGCCGGCAGCTCCCGATAGTTGCCGATAGGTGGGGGGCATTTGGTTGCGGCAGTTCGGTGCACCAGCGGATCGAAGTCAAGCCCTCCTCAGGGTCACCCCCCCTTTGGTGGATCCCAGCAGAAACTCGATCAACCTCAGCTCCGTGTTCTTCTCCGGCAGGGAGCACTTCCACTTCATGGAGGAGCACGCCCCGAAGGCGGAGCGCAGCGTACCGACGGAGCACGAGTCGAGTGACAGCAGCGACGAGGAAAACGATGGGACGGCGACGGGGGATCTGGTGTCTGGCATGCGGTCGTTCGGGAGCCAGTATCTGCGGCACCTGCGCTCGGCGGCGGCAGAAGGCGGCGGCAAGGCTGCTGTGGACATGCTGATGTTTGGGGCGTTCGGGCGAGATCTCGACAAGGAGAAGGCGGTGTGCGTGGCCGTGGCGATGCAGCGCTGGGGCCTTGTCGGCCACATCTCGCTCGTGGCCAGCGGCAACGGGGCCCCCACGCGCGCGCGCCTCGCCCTCGGGACCGCCAGGCTCCTGGAGGCGGAGTGCAGCGCAGCGGTCGGCCACGGGGGCTCTCCGCAGGACGAGGTGTTCCCGTTCGAGTTCGACCACTGCGACTACTTGGCGGAGGAGGCGGAGATAGACCCTGCAGGGGGGCAGGAGCTCGTGTTCGGCGCCATCCGCCGAGCGGCCCAGGATGGCCGGCAAGTCTGCATCGTCGTCAACAGTTCGCTCACCGACATGGCCGCCGTGCTGCGGGACGCAAGGTGGCCGGAGGTGAAGGCAGCGGTGTCTTGCGTCGTGGTGTCGGGAGGCGCCACGCAGCCGAAGTCGGATGGCAGGCTGGTCATGGATCCGTCAGCTGGGAACAACGCCTCCGACCTCGGGGCCGCCCAGGAGGTGTACAACACGCTTCGAGCGAGCGAGTGGCCTCCCTTCTACGTGGTGAGCCGCCACGCTGCTGGGCAGTGCCAGCTGCAACGCCTTGCGTTTCATGGCTCGCTTCATCCCGTGGCTCAGCGCTTTCAGCACGTGAGCAAGGACATAGTGCAGTCCATTTGGCAGCGAGTGAATAGGTCGATGGCAGAGCGCCAGAAAGTGAACGACAGTCTGCCAGCTCGCTGTGATGTCAACTGGTTTCGCAACCATTTCTTGACGAAGGACGCCCCGATAGATCTCACGGCCGCCGACTCAGTCTGGCCGTGGGCTGAAAATCTCCGAGAGACTTGCAGTGATGGGCTCACGACTCTTCTGGCGGTGTTGGCGCGCAGATCTGACTTGATCCAAGAATTCTTCACCCCGCGGAAGAGCATAGACGGCAACCTGTTTTTAGTCGGCCTCGATTCTGAGAACCATGGCGTCAACAACCCACCGGCAATCAGCACGTTGATGCACGAGCTGATGATCGTGTCTGTTGGGAGCGGCAATGGGGAATGGTTTCGGCTGGTAACCGCAATGGGGGAAGAGAACGCGCCGATCGATGCGATCATCATCGGCGACTACGGCAAGGACCTCGACGACGAGAAGGCGCTCTGCGTCGCGTCGGCGCTGCGCGGCCTGAAACTGATAGGGAGCCTGACGGTGGTTAACGGGCGACGAACGGTATAAAATCAAACGTTTTCGCTGTCGGGGGCGCCTGTGCCAGGGCGGCTGGAAAGTTTATACCCTTTCGGTGGCAACGTAGGGCAGGGGTAGAAGCTTTCCAGCCGCCCTGGGGCAGGCGCCCCTGGCGACACATACAATTATGTTTCACCTTTCTTCGCCCGCCAAGGTGGTCGCCAACCTCTTGGGGGAGAACCGATGGCACAAACATAAACTTTTGGCGCTCCCCGCGGATTGCTCGGATCGGCCCTGAGCGGCGCCTTCTGGCGCCGCCCCTCGTGCCGCTCAGCGCTCCAGGGAGGGGGAGGGGGAGGAGGAGGAGGAGGAGGAGGAGGAGGAGGAGGAGGAGGAGGAGGAGGAGGAGGGGGAGGAGGAGGAGGAGAGGAGGAGGAGGAGGAGGAGGAAGGAGGTAGGAGGAGGAGGAGGAGGAGGAGGAGGAGGAGGAGGAGGAGGAGGAGGAGGAAAAGAAGGAGGAGCAGGAGGGGGAGGTCCAGCGCCGATCCGAGAAATCCGCGCGGACCGCCAACAGTGCATGTTTCTGCAGTTTGTTGTTCCCCGAACCTCGGGGATTCCGTCAACCGCGCGCGCCTCGCCAAGGGGTCCCTGCAGACCCTGAACCAGGGCGACGTGCCGGTGGCAGCCGGCTCGCACGGGGGGCGGAAGGACGAGGAGCTGTATGAACACGAGTTCGCACATTGCGACTACTTGGCCCCCGCGGGCTCGCTGGACCAGAGGGGCGGCCACGAGCTGATATTCGCGGCGCTCGGCGAGACGTCGCGGAGGGGCAGGAAGGCATGCATCGTGCTGGGCAGCTCATTCACCGACATGGCCATGGTGCTGGACGACCCGCGCTGGCAAGAGGTCAGGGAGGCGGTTGTGTGCGTGTCGGCTATGGGGGGTGCAAAGTGGGAAGAGGGCAAGCTCGAGATGGATAAGTCCGCCGCCAATCACGTGTTCGACCTGCCCGCCGCGGAGCGGGTGTACTCCGCCCTTCAGCAGGAGAAGAATTTGCAGTTCGTCGTGGTCAGCCGTTTTGCTGCTGGGTGCTGCCAGATGCCCCGTGGCGCTCTAGACGGATCAGACCACCCCATGGCCATGCGCTTCAGGCGAGTCTCGGAGCCGGGACTGCAGACGCTGTGGGAGCGGTCTTTCCGCAGCCTCGAGGAGCGCAGGATCCTCAAGGATGCTCTGCCCGCTCGCTGCGACAGCGCGTGGTTCAGATCCACCTTCATGGAATCGAACGCGCCCGAGGAGCTCGGCCCCCAAGATGCAATCTGGAGATACGTCAAGGGGTTCAACGAGTACGACGCCCTGGCGGTTATCGCCGGGGTGGCGGCGTCTCACCCTCCACTGCTCAAAGAGTTCTTCGACGTCCAGCACTGCCCTGTCTCGGGCATGCAAGTGATCGGCCTTGACGCCGAGCAGCATGGCGTGGCTAAGCCGCAGCGCGCTAGCGAGTTCCTCCACGACTGCTTGATCTACTCCTTCCAGTGCCGATTAAGGACCGGCGGCCATATTCAGATCAAATCTGGCGACAATGCGTGGGAGAAGTGCATGCTCTACAGGCCATTACGTTCCAAAGGCCCTGACATGTGGATCGTATGCGACCAGTCCAAGAGCCCCCCAATATTTTTGGAGCGCAGCTTGTCGCGAAGGCTCGAGGGCCATACCTGGAAGCTGTTGAGTACGTGTAACGAGCCTCTCTGGGAGCATCCGAGTACATCCCTCTCGTACCGTATGGTAAACGGCATGACGAACGACCCTCTTGTTAGCCATGCGGGCTGGCAAACTTTGCGAGCTGAGTTCGAGCCGAAGCATGGGGACGTCTGGTTGCCCGGCCCGCACGGGATTGGCCGAGCGTCGGTGCATGCGGCCATAATTGCTTTGAAGGGATCTGGTAGATTGGATGACGTTGACATGGCGAAGCCGCATTTCGTGGAGACGGCGATAGCCCGGGGTCGTTTTACTTTCCATGAGCTCAGCCATGAGGTTTGGAAGCCTCACGAGCGCGTGTTCAAGACGTTCAATACCCGATTGAGCTTGCCTGTTAAGCCGTGGCCAGGCTGGTTACCTGCAGGCATCAAGGTTGTGATCGTCGCACGGGATCCACGGGATGTTTGCTGTAGCACATACAATTTCATGGAGTGGCAGACAGGTAAACGCAACATCCCCTTCTCTACCTGGGTCGACGTGTTCTGCAAGGCCGAGCTTCACCACATGACCACCGCGGTCAGTACCTACACGGATTGGTGGAAGGCAGCACAAGCATGCCCAGACCAGATTTTGTGGCTCATATTCGAGGACATGATGCTCGAGCCAGAGAAGACGGTGCGCCAGCTCGCGGCCTTCTTGGACGTCGGCGTGACTGACGAAACCGTGCTGCATTTGTCCACAGTCTTCGAGTTCGCAGAGCTGAAACGGCGCTTCGGCCCCTCCTTCGGGCCGCTGCTCCGCAATGGGCGGGTAGGCTCCCACAAGGACTACTTCTCCGCAGACGACTATGAGAAGCTCCAGAGAGATGTGATCGATCCGCTCCTCAGCGCAGGCGTTCCGCTGACGCGGAACATCCAGGCCAGCGAGGTTGTCTTGGCGGTTTGACGTGCCAACCTCGCTCGAAGTCCACCAGCACGTCGGTTTTTTTATCGCGACCGCGCGGACTCCGCCTCCGTCGGTCCGCCCCGCCCCCGCTTCATGCTTCGTCGTGGTCAACAGCTTCGCGAGCGTGCCAATGAGCACACATCGTTTTGCCATGCGCAGCTTAGCTGTTTCACCGAGCTTGTTGAGAACGTTCAAGGTTTAGTAGTGGCCAGTGTGTCGACTGGCGCACGGTCCTTTGGAATCTGAATGTCTCAACCGTTTTCATGGTTATCGTTTCAATGTCTGTCCTTCTCTCCCTTCTCATGGAACCGCTTTGAGTGAATAAGTGTGTCATTCACTTCCATGGTTAGACCTGGCTGTGGGTTCGACGCGGCAAACAAACATCATGACCCGTTTCCTGCAGGATCCCTTTACTTCATGGCGATGCGTGACCCCTTCGGTGCCAGGGGGCGCCAGGAAAACCAGTTGCTTGCAGCTGATTCGCGAACCCCCCTGTTGTTGTCCACCCCTTGCGTCCGCCCCAATACACGGCCGTGCGGCTCCTGTCCGCATTGCAATTCATCGTGCTTTATCCTCAACCCACCCTTCCTTCCAAACGAGTGCGTTCGCCAGACATGCCTGGTGTCCTGAACTCAACCTTCGCAAGTTTGTGCGCTTGCTTTCAGCATTTCCCGCACGGCTTCAGCAGCTGCTCGCAATGTACAGTTTTCTCTCTCGCTGCACATTTCGGAGCAGCAGCCCTTTCCTTCCCAAGTGTGGGTTCCCTGGAATCGTCGATATGTTACCCTCGTGCGAAAAAAGCGCCCCTCTAAACAATGCGCGGCGTCAACGCATGAGCATATCTTGCATCTGCATGCGGTGAATGATTTCGGAGAGCGATTCGGGGTGCAATTCGGTAGACAGTTCGGGGGGGGCCGTTCAGCGGACATGGCCGCGGATGACTTGGCAGACGTTTCGGGGGACTATTTGGTGGACGTTTCGGAAGGCGTTTCGCGGTTTTTTGATGGATTTGAAACAGCTGAGCTGGCGTTGCCCATGGTTGTTGATAATGGAGCCCCCAGTTACGCGCATAGCACGTATTCGATCTTACTTGGAACGTTGTACTCGCGTTCGGAATCCGACCCATCGCCCGAACGCGTAAACACTTGGCATTGGTATTTCCATGTCGTTAAGACCACCAAGTTAGTTCTTTGTTGTTCGATTTTGGCTCAGCGATTCGGTCTACGATTCGAACCCGGCAAGTCGAGCAGGGAAACCTTGAAGTAAAGCCTGGCCTGGCCACAGTGCCACCGACGTCTGATCAATATGCCGCAGAAAGAGCATGCTCACCACAGTTGCGGTCAATCCTCCCCCTCTCCACCCTCCAACTTCCCCGTCCTCCTCCCCCACCCCTGTTCTTCCTCCCAACCCTGTGGTATCGACTGGCCTTCGGCCCATCCCGCCACTGTGTCTGTCTCGGGGCCCTCTTGACCCTTTTTGGGGACCTCTTGGCCCCGAACAGGTCATGCGGGAAGCGCCGGGGGGCCGCGGGAGGCACGCTGGAAACCCCAGAAACTGTTGACTAGCGGCCGTCCCGGCATCGTCCTGTCCAACACTCGCCGGCACGTGCGGTTGGTTCCTTCGGCCCCGGCTTCTGCTTGCCCGAGGTGCCCTTCCTCTTGTCATCACTTTGTGTGTCAGCCCTGTGCGTGGTGCCCATTCGGGCCCGTGTTGGGTCAACCTGACACCATCTCTCGCACCGGTACGTGGTGACCCGCGCCATTTTGGCCGCGTCGCGGCTATGCCGCTTCCCGCAATCTTTCGTACTGTTGCCTCGGGGTCTCTCGGCTTCCGCCACCCTGGGAGTTGCAGCCTGCCAATGCGCTCGCTTCCTGGCGTCAATTCCTTGGCCGACGGTCCTTTGGACCACCCTGGTTCTCGCGCTCACGCCGACGACCGGGGCCGCGCCTTTGAATTTCTCATTCCTTCCTCGATTGGCGGTTCGTTGGCCACGGCCACCCTGGTGCCCACGCAGTCGTCTGAGGTACGGTATCATGTTTTCTCTCTCGGAGCTGTCCCTGGCCGTCGTTTATATTCCGACTTTTGGCGCCTCCGACGGATTTGCAGCTTTGCACGCTGGCAGTTCCCCTCAGTTTCAGTCCCTCCAGCCATCCACTTGCAGTTTGGCCGCTGCGTGAGGCCTCGGCCGGCGCGTAGTTGTTGCCTTGCGCGTCGCCTCTGCTTGATTTTTCTCGCGTTTCCTCTGCCTAATGAGTCTCTGCGTAGCCCGCTTTGACCTGACTCGCCGCCGGCGCGATCGCCCGCGGCCGCTGACTAAAAAGTACCCCCACCAGAGTCCGTAGCCCCTCTGGCTCAAGCCGTCTGCGGGCAACCCCCGCTCTCCAGGGGGCGCCCGACGCACCGCCTGGGCCGCCGCGGCCCCCCCGTGCCCGCCCGTGCCAGGTCGCTCGCGATAGCGGGCTGCTGCCAGGCCTCGGCGCGCCTCCTGTCCATCTCGCCGCCCTAGGGCCACCAGGATGGAAGAGAACTCAGACGGCGATCGAGACGAAACCGGGGAATTGTCACCAGGACGGATTGTGACGGACTAGTGCAGGACCTGGGTGTTCTATCACTGTCCGATGAGCAACCAAACGATGGTCCCCAGGACGAAATCGGCCAGCGGGCACAAGCATCGATCTACACGTCGGGCAGGATCCAAGACCGGCACGATGAGGGTCGACCAGCATCCATTGGATCAGATCCCGTCGCTGGAGACGACTTTTAATGACAAGGCAGCCCGTGCAGCACGAACCGATCCTGCCGCCAAGATGGCGAAGCCGCAAAACGCGGCGAGGAGGTCCGCAAACAGCGGCCTCCGAAAGCAGCGCGCACGCCGCGCCGCATGGGTTTGCGCCGTCAGGTGAGGCAGCCACACGAGCCACCATCCACCCCGTGCCGAGCCTGAAAAAGGCTCAGACCACCGAAGGCACTCCCCAACTTAATCACTCAGGCGCTTGCCCGTCTTTGGGTCCAAGCCTG